GGGGGGGGGGGGGGGGGGGGGGGGGGGGGGGGGGGGGGGGGGGGGGGGGGGGGGGGGTTGAATATGTTTTGATGGATTTTGACGTTTCGTATGAGGGTGAATAGATTGAGAGCAGGGACGACTTGGAATGACTGGGAGGCATGTATCAGCCTCAGCGTTGGGCATTGTCCGTGCTTGGTAATCGGCTTAATGGGCAGGTGTATTGTCGAAGGACTGATGCCTTAAAGAAGGTATGCTATTGAATTGTCTTGCTGGGTTTGAAATAGATCAGGAGTGCTTTAGGACGGAATGTTTATATTGCAAGGCAGCTATAGCTGGACTTTAGCCTGGTGGACGAAAGTCTGGCCTTGACGAGGGATAAGCCAAGGATTCAGGAATAACATGTAGTGTTATGAGGGGGGGTTTGAAGCTTTAAGAGCAAGATCCATGGTTGTTTTCCTCTTAATAGAACAATGATTTGACTTTCTGCATCCATGGATGGTTTAAGAGGGCGGTACTGCTTGCCGCCTCGTACTTGGGTCTGTGCCTTATCTACACCAGAGAGTTATGGAGCCATTTCTTCGAAGATATGGATGCTTTGTGTAGTTTCGGGCAGGATACTCAGGGACTCAGGGAGATAGAGGGCGCCGATATGTTGAAGGGTTGTTAGGAAGAAAGGGAGGCTAGGAAATTATGATGTCTGAGATGCAATCAATAATTGAGAGGCATATAGCTTGCTGAGCTGCTATAACCTGTCGTCACACAGCCACATACTGCGCGATTGCCTTTGACGATAATGAGGTTGCTACGAGCTGTTATTTGAATAGACTGTATTCCTGTATTAGCGTAGTCGCAAATATGGTTCCGGATGATCATGGGAATCTCGGCCGGCTTGGGTCAAGGGTATTTAAGGAGCCGCCTCCATTGGGGAATCGTCGCAGAGCAGAATGTGAAGCTTATGCGTGAGAGTGAGATGCTCAACATCATGGCCGGTCCTCAAGAAAGCTTGGTATGAAAAGGTTGAAGGCGCTGTATGCGAGTTAGTAAGCTGGGTAGTTTGGCGGCAGGCTTGTGATGTTTTGGGTTAGAATGTGTAGAAAATATAAATGAAGAGGGGCAATGAAGGTGAACGGCCGTTTCCCTTGCCTCATGTTGACATGGGGTAAGTAGAGATTAGGGCCCTTATGTGCTAGGCGCTTTTCAATAATTACCGTTGAAACTTGTAAAAGCATCTGTCAACAACCAAATTGGTGCTGTGGATTTTACTAAAGCTTCTTCATGCTTTATATACACGTGAAGAGGTGCATGCTGAGTAAGAAGAACCTCCTCTACTATGTTTCTGGTGTGTTGTCCGACTTACCTCGTTCCTCTGCGCTGGCATTCCGGACTGGCTGTGACCCGGGTTGGAATGTTGTTTTCAAGCCGACCTTATGCATAAAGGAGAGAGACGTTGCTACTTCTATGTCGAAGCATATACATATTATGGCAAATGGTGATTATTTCGCCCGGCTGCAACAATGTAGGTTTCCATGCAAGGTTGGCTTGAATCAATGTGTGAAATATCTCAATCCCTATACTCTAAGTCCTGAGTTGTGCCTTTGAAGGACTTGCCATTTCGAGCTCCTTGACACCATGGGGATAGATAAGCAACGGAGTGCGCCAGATGACGGACGTGGATGGAGACGTGCTCAAGTATACTTTGGGCAGCATGTAAGGTGGTGGAGGACTGCTTCGTCAGAGGCGACATAGCCCACGTCAACACTTTGGTCTTTCCAACTTTTTCCAGATTCTGGATAACCAACCCGAAAGTGCATTGGCCTGCGTTGCCTCAGACTTGTGGTGGTATGCTGCTATCATACATTTCGTGGATGATTGAAATCTGGGATGTGCCCCTCCTCAAGTTGCAGGAAGGCCTTCAGCATGCAACAGGACGAGTGAAATTCGGAGATCTTGATCCGCCTGAGTATAAATTAGTAAAGACATCTTCCTTGTTAATGATAGTCTTCCACAAGAAAATCAAACTCTCTGAGTCTGTGTGAAGTTAACGATTCGGCTTCTACTTGCCTGGCTCAGTGTGAGGTGAAACCGTAGGCTGTTCAAAACGACCATTCTGTTATTTGTAGCAGAAAAGAGCCGTGATCATATTCCGGATATTTCACCTTAAATACTCTGCAGATAGGGGGGCGGCCTGCTAGCAAAGTGGATGGAAGCCCTTACCTTCAGAGTTGAGATGTGGAAGCCCACCAAAGCGAACGATATCAATATAACATAATGGTGACGCTTGTACTGCTGGAATGAGAGATGGGCTTTCAATACCCAATGTTGTCTGTAGACAGCATAAGTTCTGAGTAGACCCCTTTTTATCGTTGATCACATTCTATGAACATACCTATAGCACAATGTATTGAAATGCCTTGAAGCCATCATGTTTTCAATTTTTCTGCGCCTGTTGCTCACCTGACCCAAAAGAACGATGGTACTAGGGCATCCAAGTACAGCATGCCAAGGCATGTAGGGATGATGTTATGGCGGATTTGCGCAGATGGTCAAGTCATCATTAGAAGGACGTCTGACTATCATGGCCAGAATACCATGGGAACGCGTCAGATGAGTGACAACAGTTTTGGCGGAAATTTGGACATCAGTGCGATCTGAAAGCATACCGATCTTTGCGTCCGCATCTCCGTGGGAATGAACTTGGGGCTTTTGTAACCGCAACTTCCAGCAGCAACCCTCCCAGACAATTGTTGTCTAAAAGGTTGCCAGTAATTGCTGCGAGTAATCTATCTGGAGGGATGTAAGGCCCTGGATACCTTCGTAAGGGGTTGACTCGTCGAAGAACAAAACAATACAAGTCGATCTAGGGTAGACTCAGAACTCTTGTTTGAAGGAATAGCTGATGCAAGACGCGCGCACAATAAGGATGACGGCGATGTGCAATTTGCTTCCGGCATTCGCGCGCACATTCGAACAGCAGAAACAAAGCCGCCTAGCAGCGAGTGCTGAACCTCAAGTCGATAGCTATTTTCTAGCTGATACTTAGCCATCCCCAATCCCTAATTCCCGTCCTCGACATATCATGTCTGGTAAGGCTCTCGTTTCAAAATCTGCTTTTATTCTTCTTCCAAGGCCCCTGTCACTTCCGATGAAAGAGTGTGTCATTTCTAAATGTGACCGAGACTCTTCCTCCCAGCAGCGTTGTGTCGACACACTCGGCCACAATAAGTCGCCCGTATCATTCATCACTAGAATTGTCAGCTTCCCAAAGACACAAACATCGAAACAGTAAGTAAGGTCAATATGGAAAATTTGCAACGCAGTGGGCGCGCGTGAATCTGTACGCGTGGCCGAGATACAGTTGGAGGAGCCTCTCGCGTTGCAATGGACGTTGTTGCCCAAGTTTGTGACCCCGTAGACGGCAGTCTTGCAGAACTCATCGCAGGTTCTGCCGTTTGCATGCACAGCGCAGCAGTGGCTTCCATCCGGCCAGTGGCACTGGCAGTAACCGCATGCTTCGACAGTGGCTATGACGAGGGCCAAGATGGAAACAATGGAGGTGAATTTGAACATTGTGCGCAGGTTTATGAGACTATCAAAAATGAAGTCGTAGCGGGAGTGACAGAGATCCAGTTGACGATGGAGGTAGAGGTAAGAACAGAAGTAGGCAATGATCGATAGAGATAGGGACAGAGACATAAGTAGAAGATCATTGTTTAGCACTTCATATACAGTTCCTCTTTGGTGCTGTTTCAGATATAAGGAGTACAACAGGAAGCCTCAGTCACTCAATTTCAGCTGTGGAAGAGTCATGATCCTGAAATGGGTTTCTAGGACGTCGGTTTGATGAACGCGAGCTGCTCGCATCAGAGTCTGCCACCGCTACATTTCGGCAAATTTGAGCCGTACCAGCAAGGTATGGGCAGGATCGCACCAGAGGCGGTGGGTAATAATACAATAGACTTTATGAACATTTCCGTGTTCACTCATGGTTTCAGTCAGAATGAGTTTTGGGGTCACAATGGTAATTGCTCTGATCTTTTGGCCCTGCCCAACACTGCCAACGACCGAGTCACTTTTGTGTGTGCCCATCAATACCGGACGCGAAATCGGTATAAGGGAACTTTCGCTAATCAGCTGTAGCCTCAGATCCCTACGCGGATTGGCGCGAGCAGAAGCTACCTGAATTTGAGGTCATTCTGACAGACTAAGGTGAGGGTAGCCCGCGGGAGGGCATGCGGTAGGGCTAACTGGAGCTACGCGCCGGTGGTTGCGCTGAGTGATGGGTCAGCTTGCAAGGGCTGGTCACGAAGATGACGAAAATGATGACTCCGACAACTATGATACGTTGTAGCAGGAGATGAAGAACAAAGTTGAATAATGTTGGTGGGCATGAAGGTATCTCGGTGACAATCCATGGTATCGACCGTACCGTGGAAGAACGTGTTGAGGCAGATGGGAGAAGTCATGAGTTTCTCTTCGGATGACATTAATAAATCTATTAAATCTCTGTTGACTTCCTTTCTTCCTTGGTAATAACGTGATAGGAACTGGACGGATAATGAAGCATCTTCCAATGCCTAGTCATTGTTTCCAGTTGCAACGCCCCAGAAGTAGGCCGCCCACGCTCCAAGGATCAACAAAACCAATCCACCAAAGCAGACCTTGGAAATCAACTTATTGCGGGCCCCGTTCTCCTCGTGGAATGCCCTCTTCCTCTCATTCCAAAGGTCGCCGTTAGCGATGCGTTGCTTCCTTGTCCATTGCAGGTTGCCCAGATCAACGGACCACCACGAAAGTCCAATCAACGCGATAGCCACCAACACTGATGCAGCCGCAAGAATAACGTAAACAATGACGACATGTTCGTAGCTGTCATTGTCGGCATCCTGAATGGCGCCGGTGATGATACGGACGATAATGTTCATGCTGAACTCCGATTAGTCTGTGCTACAGTAAGAGTAAATAGAGGCGAACTTACGCATTGTTCATGGCAATCTTGACGGCGTAAGCTGAGCCAAAGACGGACTGGTGCCACATGGACGTGCGAATACTGTCAATGATAGGAGTGGGACCGAAGGTAGATGAGATGGCGTAGATGCCGAACGCAGCGGCAGTTCCGGCCTTCTCGGAAGCCCAGTTGACAAGTGCCATAGCCAGGAAAACACCAGTTCCGCAAATAGCGACTGTAACATGTTAGAATTATGACGTAACCAACGCAGGTAAGGTCTACTCACGCAGAGTGATACGGTTGCCCAGCAAGTCGATGAAGGCACCAATACATGGGACGAGGAAGAAGCCTGCGTACTGCAGGGTAGCAGAGTACCAGCCGGCAGTGATGGCGTCAGTCTTGAATCGCTTCTCAGCCAACTCAGTCGCGTTCTGGGTGAAGACGACTGCGGCACTCGTCTGGAACAGAGAAAAGGCCATGATCGCCCAGAAGACCCAGGGAAGCTCGAGGACTTTCTTGGGTTGAAATTTCTTCGACTTCTCCGTCAATTTTTCGCCGGTAGCCGGGTCCTTCATATTGCCGAACTTCTGGTGGGCGACGCTGTTGAATTTGTAGAAGCCGACCGTCATCACGTTAGTGAAGATGTTCATGAAGACGGCAACCCAAAAGACCCAAGCGAAGTTGCCGGTGTTCTTAGCAATCACGTTTGCTGAAGACTTGCCGACGAAGCCGCCAATCTTCTTGATTCCGAGTTCGAGTCCGAGGGTCGATGCAAAGCCGTTGTTAGGCGAGAACCAGGAGCTGAAGACCTTGTACTGGGCGACTTGGGTAGCGATGTCGCCGAGGGCAAGGATGACACGTCCGCCGATCATGAGCTTGAAGGAGCGGATCTGAGCCGCGGCAGCGACAAGGATGGAGCCGATGGAGTAGATGATGTTACCTAAAGCTGTCAGTAACGAGTCTCAACACACTCTGGGTATGCCAACTTGTACTCACCATACAGCATGGCACCGGCTCCACCGATTCTGTCGGTGACAATACCACTCGTGAGAATGAGAAGGGTGACCATGAAGTCCTCACTGGCCTCAAGAAGGGAGAACTGCTTGTTGTTGATGTCAAGCTCCTTCTTGAGGGTAGACTTCAACGCGCCGGTAATGCCGGAACTCCATGATGAACCGAAGCTGATGCATGAAATCATAATGACCGCGATGAGCTTCCAGTACATTGGGGGTTGCGGCTTGTTGCTTTCCAGCGACGTGGCAGGGGAGAGCTCAGGGAGGTCGTTGACAGCTTCGGTGGGCTGCTTCTCCCGACGAGACTCGACGTCTGAGCGTGACTCCATGCTGTCAGATGTTCCGATTGCTCGGTAGCTGGCAGGAATGTCAATTGAGGAAGGAGATGCACGAGGAGAACTCGAAATCAGCCTGAGAGCTGACGTTGAAGAAGTTCATATATCCGCGCGCATCGTCAGTTGGAAACGACTATTCCGTAAAAGTGGGAGCCGGGATCGGTTGGGAGGATTTGCTCACTGTGAGAAAACGCAAAAGGAGCCCAAAAGGGGTCTAGAAAACGGGGGTTTTCGCGCAGGATTTTTCTTTCCCCAGTCAAGGTTTTGCGCTCGCTAGCGCGCCAAGTCCAACGATGGGCTCGGAGATGCATCTGATAAGATTAAAAAGGCAACGGACCCCTTTACGAGTCAGGGATATGCCGGACTAGAACCAATCCCTTCACACAAATGCTCTGGCCACAATCCACAGCGGGGGCCATCCGAAGTGGAGTTCCACGCGTGCTCAGAGTCTGGCACGCGGCTTCGCGATGCCGCTCCTTGCTTACTCGGTGACAACTTCGGCCGGGAAGCGGCCATTGTGGTGTCAAAAGAGCTTAAAAGGAGGACCCTTTCGGAGTACGAGTCCAGCTGGGCGGTTCTGCGCAGTGAGCCGAGTGGGATATCACGCTAATTTTGACGCTACGCGCTTTCTCCCATGTGAGAAAAATCGTTTCCTTGTTCATATGGTCCGCTGGGGTACCATCCGATTGCGGCAAGGCGAATTTCGTGGCAACTTGATCGTCTTCTTCCGGGAAGGCGTTGATCTTATCATGTCATCTGTGACTAAATCCTAGTGAGTATGGAATACCTGGCCGCTTCTCACCCCCCTGCTGCCATCTGGTTGGATGTCTGTCGATGCTTTGACGAACTCCTCATACATAACACCCTCAAAAAAGGACTCGCCGACCAGGATGTATCCGTCCTCTACCGGTCTCAACACGAAAGGGACATCCGCCGCTGCCAAATCTTCTGATCACATCCTATCCAGGCCAAGGCCGATCCATCCGTCGTGGGTGGAAAAGGCTGCTCCTCTGTGGACCATGTCGTGAAGCCTATTTTGAATAGTGTTCCAGTGCTTGATCGTTTCCTCAACAGAGCTGAAGTCGTCGCCCGACACGCTCGAAGCCGTTTGACCTTTTCCCGCATCCAACTGACTCTGGAATACGGTTCCGTAACTATTCGGTGCGCTTCCGAGACTGTCGGAAACCTTGTCGCCGGTAAGGGTACGCCAAATTGCTCCAAGGCCGTTTTTGGGGGTGATGGGACAAGTGCCATGGGTACTCAGACGCCATTCTTCCCTCCTCCTCATCATCTCCTTGCTTCTCAGCCTGCTCAGCCCGACCACGTTCTCCAGTCGCAGACACCCCGGCCCTGAAGTACACCCTCGGAATTGGGTGCGAGTTCACACGCTAGCTGGTGTAGTGTGGGTTCTCGCGCCAAGCCATGTCCCACTCTTGACGACGTCAATTTTCAGCCCTATAATAGACAGTACCTCCTTCCGTTGCTTTGAATGTGACGCTGGAGGCGATCCAAAAGACGCATCGTATGTCAAGCCTCGCGGATTCAGTTATTAGACCAACTGCTCCGGTTGAAGAGCTGGCCCACAAGCATGCCCAAAATCTCTCGTCCGCGCAGAATTGACGTTGGGCCCCCAATTAAACCGGAGTATGCGGAATATTTGCGTTGAGATGCTTTTGTCTGACTTATGCACAAGAGCCTGGCACCACTCGAGAAGAAGGCGCCTGTCGGTAAAGAAGCCAATCATGATACGGTCGAGCAACCGCCGCGGGCTCACCACAATGCCTTGCACAGCGTGGTAAAACGAGTCTGATCATCCTCAATGGCAATGCCAACAAGGCTGTGGAATGACCATCCAGTCTCGAGGCTTGCATATCTTGTGTCCAACGCTTCCCTAGACCTGACCTAGTAACAGCCATTCTAGGTTGAAATCGCCATCATCGTCTTCCTCTTCCACCTCCCGCTCAGCTCTCTTGATTGAGTCCCAGTTCTCCGGCCGATATCCAGATCCTTTCCTCTGTGCGGTGTATTCGTCCGCCGTCGCATGTATACCGCCCTCATCCTCTTCGGCCGCCTTCACCCATCCCCAGAAGTTTGTCTCAGACATGCCTGTCTTGTCTTCATTCTCAGTACCTCTCATGCTTTGATACTCACCGTAGTTCTCCTCGTCCTCCGAGACCTCTCCGACCTCGATCACAAATCGTCCGCCTGTCGCTGGTCCATACCCGTAGGGGAAGTACTTTGAAGCCTTCGCCAACACCGCTTGCTTTGCTCTTTGTCTCTCGCCTGCGTACGCAGAGTCCAAACCCTCATTAACGTTGATCCTGTTACTGGTCGCATAGACCCTAGGCTTCCACTGGTATGGGTCCATCGGCAAATTCTGAAAGTGCGCGGCGTTGTCAGCGCCCCAGTCCAGGTGCAGCACATAGACGGGAATGATTTGTGCTGGGTCAAATACGATGTATTCAAGCTCACGGTTCGCCACGTGTGAATCAGCACCCTCGTATGGCTCCGACTGCGTGCGCCAGTTGTCCCCGTGAAACATCTGTCGCGCGCGACCCATGATGGTGGCGCACACAATCAGCTTGAGGCCGAAGTACTCGGTCGGCGATGTCGGCCGCGCCCAGGAATCCGTGTAGCTCAAGGAAAAGTCGGCGCTGGGCGAACTGTAGATGCCGCGACCGTAGGTGGACCCACAACGAACTTCGTGCAGATTTCCATCGTTTCCTCCTTTGTCGCCCTTTGGCACGCGCGAGCCCGGCTTGAGGAAGCCATGGCGGACGATCGAGGGCACGAAGTGGCGCTGCGTGCCGTGAAACGTCATGCATGGACGAATGAAATGCTCAAGCTTATCCTCGAGACGGGTGTGCTTCGCGCAGCACTTCGGAAGGCTTTTGCGGTGGCGGAGGAGCTTTTCGCGCAACCGAGCTCGGCAAGTATCGAAGCGGGCAGCTAGATCGCGCCGGATGACACACTCGGCGTGAAGAACTCGGTAACACGAGGGAATCGTCTCGCAGATCTCCCTAGCAGACCTGCCCAGGTACTCCAAGGCGATCTCGTTGGTAGTAGTCGCCTGGACAGCCTTCTTCTGAAATTGGTCCGAAGGTATGCGTTGCTTTTCGTCGGCTTTTTGGTTGGCTCGGTTTCGTACCGCCCTCACCAGGGCATCCGTCTCATGGGCCATCTTAAAGACAACCTTGGTCGCCTCAAAGATTCCGTACGTGCTATTTTCCCTATCAAGCCATTTCTCGACGCAATTTGTCTCGGCCGCCTCCTCGATCACGCAGCGAAGGGTAGCACGGAGGCCATCTATGTCCTTGCGCGAGAGTGCGAGGTTGATGAGGTCAAAGGAGGGTGCCGTGACAGGATAGTGAACACCAGCTGTGACCTGAAGTATGAGCTCTTCGTGCGTAAAGCAGAGTACGTCGTCCATCGGTGAGGATAATCGGTGGTCGTCGTTCAGGAAGCTGGCGTCGATGAGGGCGTCTGTTTCTTCATCACGAAGGAGAGCCAGCTGAACGATATCTTCTTCAGAGAATTCGAGATCAGCCATCCTGATTTCACTGGCGTGGCCTCAATGCACACGGTGCGAACAGTTGGTCGGTGAGGGAGGGGATGAAGGCGTTTATGAATTCCCCCAGCTAGCGCAGCGCTAGCTGTTCAAGGAAATAGTTGTCGAAGACGATCGATGGGGTGAGCTCGATTGAAACAATGCCAGTGCATTTTCTTTCACCAAAAATGCCAAATACGTCGCTGTCGATGGTCAATTCTGGAACGATCTTTCTGCGGTAGGCGGCAACGGTACGTATTGGTGTAGCTCTTGGAGACTGGCTTGTTCAGGAATTCTAGAATGCAGCTAGAAAATGATGTGTCAAGTCCCTGAACATTCTTCGACGAAGTTTGTCATGCTCTAAATTTCGGGATGGTAGACTTATACGCCTGTTTGAGTAGTCGCGGCTGTCAATATGTGATTGATGTGATTCATCTGAGGCCTCGTAGGGATAGCTAGATTTCACTAGTTGTCGAAATCGTGCGCAGTAGTGCTGCTCCAAAGTGTATCTAGTCTATGACTCTTCGGCAATAAAATGCCTGTGCTCACGTTTAATGCTTGAATTCGAGGTTATTCGAAAGGTGTTTCAAGTTAGTAACGTGCTAGAAAGGTCTAGCGCACAAGGACTGCCTATCTTCGGTGAGCCCAAAATGGTCTAGGTCAATCCTCCACTAACTAAATTCAGAGTAAGACAACTATATTGAATATCGGACTTTGTACAGAGTATATTTGTCGGATTAACATACGCTGATCACTAGAGCATTGGCTTCATTGCTTGAACGGCAATGAACCATTCCCATACCGATACAGATGCTTTTGATGTGACGAAGAGCTTCCAACACAAGGTCGCATCGTAGGTGGGTCGGGCGAGTTCTCGGCCCACAATCTTCGGCGGTAAGTGGAGATTGGATTGGGCCATTCCATCGGCTTCAGCCCGGATCAGGGTTGAGTAACCGCTTCTCAGGGGTTGAATATCAAGGTTATTGATTCAGTAAGGATGAATGAAAGTATCGGCGGATCAGAAGGTCAACAAATTCACAGAATGCAGCCCCTCCAACACCAAATTTGCATTAACTTTCTCCTCCGAACGATCGCCTATGATGAATTCAAGCGATGATGCTGCGTGTTATCGACTTGCATCATCTGCTCCCCAATCAACATCTTCGTCCGAAACTCGAAGCCAAATTTTGTACGGGAATGTGTCGTAGTGTGTAGTTCCCTCGACTTGAACATGAGAAGACATTTCAGTGCGGACTTCATGTAGGTAAGGGCGGCAGCTATTTTCAGGTTATAGCTTGAAATCCGGAGGAGCTTACTGCTTGGAAGCCCGAACACCATGAATGTCTGGAATTCTAATACCATGTCACTTTTCGCAAGGTAGACGCAGAAAGCGAACCCTGAGCATCCGGTTCGGAAGACGATCCAGATTCGTCTTCTAAAGCCTAGCTGCAGATCCACAGCCTGCAGACTCAGCAGCTACCAACACCAGTAGATGCGCCCGGGGAACCCTCAGAGTATCATCCAGGCAAGCAGTCCAGTGGGCTGATTTCTTGGCATTGAATGCGAAATTTTAACAACTCACCGATGATATACTAGGGTAGGTAGGGTTTGCGTCTTCGTATAAAAACCTGGGCTCCCTCACGAGTCCTAATGTTTTGGTGGCCATCGCGATTCTTCCACGTGGTCTGACTTTACCGGGATCCCCTCTCAATTCGCACATCTCGTCGGGAGCCAGAGCGGGAGTCACAATGCTGTCCAGTGTTTGGGATTATATCATCGTCGGCGGTGGCCTCACCGGCTCGGTCATCTCAAGCCGGATGCTGGAATAAAATAGTTCCTTGAGTATCCTGCTCATCGAAGCCGGCGAAGATACTCGAGCTCGTACCGACATCTTATACACCAATGCCACCAACCTCCTGGGCGGGGAGCTTGATTGGCAGTACCCAACCGAACCAGTCGCAGCACTTAACAACCGCACTCTTGTCTTCAATCAAGGCAAGGGCCTGGGCGGCGGCGCTGCTATCAACTCTTGTAAGAGCACATCTTGACCTTCCCGAGTATCAATTAACGATCTTAGGTGGGTACACACGCGGGCCCCGAGTAGACTATGACGAGTGGGCTGGAATCGTCGGCGATGAGCGTTGGAGCTATGAAAACCAGTTGCCTTACATGAAAAAGGCCGAAGACTGGTTCAACACCAACAATGCCGCCCAACACGGAAATGATGGGCCTCTTCACGTGGCTTCCGTCTCCTCAACTGGCCGTGCATACCCTCTCCGTGATGTTGTTGCCAGTGGCTGGGACGAACTTGGAGTTCCTGAGCTACCAGACCTAGACAGCAATGCCGGCGACAACATCGGGCGCGCTGAGCTTACCGAGACTCGTCGCGATGGCATTCGTCAGCTGACCCCTGTGGTCTATCCTCTCGACGGTATCGAGGTTCTCACCGAGACGCTTGTTGAGAAGATTCTGCTTTCCAGTAGTGCGGACGACGGAGAGCTGCAAGCTACTGGCATCCAGCTTGCCAATGGCACCCAGATTTTCGCCAACAACGTTATATCAGCCGCTGGTGCCTATCGCTCTCCGCAACTCCTTATGTTGTCTGGTATTGGTGAAGCGGCAGCATTAGAGAACCACAACATCAGCGTGAGATTGGATCTCCCCGAGGTCGGGAGAAACCTGATTGACCACATGTCGTTCTACCAATATTGGAAGCTCAGAAGCCCGGAGAATGGTTACGCACTCGGATCCAGTAATCCAATTTTTAGCCAGCCCGAGTTCAGCGCGGGGTACCCTATTGATTGGGTGACATCAACGGGGGTGGATAAGACTGGTCTTGCTTCTGCCATCGAGAAGGATGAAGGAGTTACCCCAGACGCTGCATCTCACTCTCTGCTCAGCGCCAACCGCACCTTCCTCGAGAACTTCGTCATTTACCAGGCCTATAGTGCCTCCAATCCCTCTGTTCCGATGGACGGTTCGCATATCTACACCAACATTGTCTCCTTTCTGCCTACATCTCGCGGAACCGTCAGTCTTGCATCCGCTGATCCTGCAGATAGTCCCGTCATCAACCTCAACTATCTCGATACGGAGGTCGATCGTCATGTCTACCGAGAGGGCATCCGTCAGATGACGAAGTTGATGCTAGATACTGCCTTCGGCAACGAGTACATTGTTGGAGAAACTGCTCCTGACAACACCGAGCCAGTCTCGCTGGAAGACACTGACGAGTACCTTGACTCCCGTCTAGCCGCAAGCGGCGTCACTACATGGCATCCCCACGGAACTTGTGCGATGGGCAGTGTTGTCGACTCTGATTTCAAGGTTAAGGGCGTGAAGGGCCTGAGGGTTGTTGATGCTTCTGTCTTACCCGTCCCCATTGCGGCTCATTTGATGGCACCTTTGTACGCCATGGCGGAGCAGGCTGCTTCTATCATTACTAGCAATTAACGAGAGACACGAGAAGAAGTTAGCATCATCCGAGACGGATGTAATAGTATTCAATCAGTGTCAAAGCAGAATTCCAAACTTAAGAATTGAGAAACTATCATTGGCGTCAAAAACATTAGAAAATAGCGCGACGTCTTCTACGCTTCTCCTGCGTAGCCTCGAACTCCTCCTTGATCTGGTCCAAGAGACCGTCAACTGTCAAAACATCAACGGCGACACCAGCAACACCCTTGGCAACCATGATAGCCTTGTCAAACGCCGCTCTACTACCAGCAGCAACCTCAAAAGCCGCAGTGTGGGGACCACCATCAGGCACACTGCCGTTCTCGTTGGTAATGCCGAAGAACGGGCTGATGCTAGGGAAATCATGGCTCAAGTTTCCCTGGTCGGTACTTCCACTGGGCTCACGCAACTTGTCGACTTCAGCATCAGGAACCTCGCCGCCAAGCTCAGTGAAGTACTTAGAATACGAGCTGGCCAAGAGGTCGTTGCTAACCATGTTGTCGTAGCCGTACGGCCTCATGGTCAGATTCAGCTCGGCACCAGTCGCAAGAGCACCGGCCTCGAAGCACTTCATCACTCGATCAGTCCACTCTTCCAGAGCGACGTTGTCCGCGGAGCGGATCTGGAAAGAGGCTTCGGCGAGAGCGGGAATGACATTGATGCGAGAGCCAGCAGAGCTGATGATGCCGTGGATCTTGTCGGTGGACCGCGTCTGCTGGCGGAGAAGGGCAATGGCGTTGTTCGCGACAATGAGGGCGTCTTGGGCGTTGATACCCTCCCAAGGGGAGGCAGCCGCGTGAGCCTCCTTGCCATAGTACTCAACTTCGAAACGGTCGGTGGAAGTGGTGATCATGTAAGGAGAGTCGCCGCCGTTGGTCGGGTGAGTAATGAGGGAAATGTCGATGTTGTGATCAGTGAAGGCACCAGCTTCGTGAAGCTTGACCTTGCCGCCGAGACCTGAAAACTGTCAGCTTCCATCCAGATTCAGACTTTCAAGGTGTATCTTACTTTCTTCGGCGGGAGTTCCGAACAGAATGACCTTTCCAGGGAGACTCTCAGCACGCATGATCTCAGCGGTGGCAAGCGCACCACCGACGGATGCCGTTGCGATCAGGTTGTGGCCGCACGCATGGCCGAGACCAGGAAGAGCGTCTAAGTGGAGAGTCAATATAATGTTCATGATCATTTTTCCAATTGAGTGCTCACTTACCATATTCGGCATTGAAGGACACGATAGGACCGTCTCCGTTTCCCTCGAAGACAGCTACGAAGGCAGTGCTGATGTTGTAAATGGACCTGGTCACGTTCCATCCCTCATGAGCCTCCATGAAATCGGTCAGGAGTTTATGTGCTTCCACCTCCTCGTATCCAAGCTCCGGATTGTCGTGGATCTCCTGGTTGATCGGCCACAGCTCATCGACAATGGAATCGACATAGTCGGAGATGGACTGAAAGTACGGGCTGATGTCGGGGCTCGAGCTGTTGGTCTGGCGGGGCAGGACAGCAGATGCTGCTGCCGAGCTCGCGCCAAGAGCCAAGATTAGCTTGCTTGAAAGACCTCTGATACCCATGTTGTCGAACTCGACGATGACGTCCTATGAGGTTTTGGAGTTTGAGCTTGACGGAAAGATTTCAGTACCAAGTCAACTACGGCAGACCGTAGCCTCTTTATACCGCAATTCCTACCCAGACTTGATGTCTAATCAATGAATGTCATGCTTATCTTCTTCTCCAACATACCGCCTGGGAAGACGTGCAATACCGCCGATGAGCGGATGACGAGCATCATGGCCCTCGTTCTGAAGTCTTGGCCCTCGTGGCCTTGAACCGCTCGTCGGCTCTTCATCGACCGTTTCAATTCGTTGTTTATCTCAGTGGTGGGTAGTGCGGGGAAATGTCAAATCCCTCTACCAGTCAAACGGCGACAGAAGTCTGTGTCGCGGTCCCGTCTACTTGAATGGATGGCCGCCAAGAAGAGCCCAGCCAGCGGTTTTGATGTTATCCCCACTCGCAACCGGGGCCGAGGGACTTGGCGGTAGAGATAGGTATTTATTCCCTCGCACCACTACCGCCGACATCTGGCCCGACATTCTTGGCTCCGGGAACTTGGTAGACGCCGACCGGAATACTCCATGCGAAAGAAAGAAAAAGCAGCCGATGTGGGTAGTTTGCCGTGGGCAAATCTCCCCACCATGCTCCTGTTCCCCTCCGCACCGCCATGGGGAAATGCTGGGGACGGGGTCGACCCTGGCGAGTAAGCTTAAAAAAAATAGCCGATCGTCTGTTCTTTTGCCGACGGGTTATCTGGAGTCTAAACGCAATTACTAAAACCAATAAGTCGGTCTTTGATTACACCATTGACGGCTCTCTCCAGCCACGCAATTCAATCAAGAACAGTAAAATTTCAACGGCTTGACATCATTGATTTATTCAGACGAGTGCAGCATTTAATGCACATAACGGAAACTGACAATCCCCTCCCCGCCGTGTCCAGCCTTTGAGCCCGAGATATGATTGTGGCTCACATTGCCAGCCCTTTCTTCCTCCTCGAACTTGGCATTCTGCTTCTTCAAATAATACTTGATAAACAACGCCGTGCCTGCACAGACCAAGCAAGCACCAGACATGACTCCGCCGCCAGCGTAGTATCGAGGCTTCTGGCTATCCGGAAACATGTAGCTGGTGTAGAAGTGTGCAACACCGGCAGCCATGAAGTTTACGATGGCAAGTGCAGCAGCACGCTTGGCTCGCGGACGAGGGAGAGACGCGGATAGCCAGCTAACACAGAGGTTGTAGGGTGCATATGAGCCAGCAGTCATGAGGAACATGGAGAAGTAGCGCCCACCAAGTGAGTCAACGAACATTGCCTGCTTTCAGTTAGCTCAACCTCTTCCACAGACTATAAACGGAAGCTGTGATATTTACATACCAAGATGTTACCGAGGAGTGCAAACACCATCGGGATTGCGATGTGGTACCCACGCTCATCCTTGTGCGCAGCGTGGAAAGAAACGCAGAGAGACACAATGAAGGCGAAGAAGTAAGGCGGCGAAGTGAGAAGAAGTGTTGTTGTGCGACCATAGCCAAGAGTTCCGACGATGGAAGGAAAGAAATTGTTGAATGATTGGGCTGTGATGAGAGCCATTTGTTGGATGATGAAAAGGTATAGCTTAGGGTCAATAAGGGCTTGCTTGAGACCCCAGAAAATGGACTCTGGGTCCTCATCAATGATGCCTGCGTTCTCTTTGCGAATTCGCCACTCCTGTTATTTTGGATTCAGTCAAGCCAAATAGGTTATGAGATAGCACATTGACTTACGGCGTACAACTGCTGGTCGCGAGAGATGAAGAGATGTTTGCTCTGCAGGGGGTAATCTGTGAGAAGAGGAAGCAGCAGCAGCGCAATGACTACGGTCATGGCGCCCTCAATGATGAACAGCCATTCCTGGGTCGCATTAGTACGGACGCGCCTTCTAGAAACTGCGAAAGGCTCACCCATGCGGGCTTTCCTGCTTTGCCTTCCATTCTCGAGATGATCCCAGCCGCAATAAGTCCAGAGAAAGCTGTCGCGACCATGTTGCCGCCATACAAGATCGCAATCCTCGGCGGCAGCTCTTTACGAGTATACCAGCATGACATCAGGACAAACACAGCCGGAAGGAATGGCGCCTCTACCAGTCCCAAAATGAAACGAACGGCGGCGAGCTCCGAGAAATTCTTCACGAATCCTTGGCTCATAGACAGAATGCCCCAGAGAGACGTGATGAGACAGATGTAAAGTGACGGTCGGACCTTTCCAATGATGAGGTTTGAGGGAACCTGAGTGATGCAGTCTGGAAGAAGTCAGTCTTGGAGGTCAAGAAGTGTTAGGTAAAAATGCCATACACCCAACGTAGAACATGAGAAGACAAGTGTTGTATTCGTTGTTGGTCATGTTCAGCGTATCCGTGATTCCTGCAATCTTCGCACTGGCAATGTTATTTCTGTCCCTAAGCAAGAAGTTAGTACCGATATTTTTGCTTCCAGCTCACCTTATTACTCACAGAATATTCAACAGGAACAAAATGAAGACGGTGGGCATCAGGGTTAGATCTAGCCGCCGCGTCAAGCTCCTATCCAACAGCCTCAGTTCGTCGCCGCCAAGGTGTTCCAACTCTCGCGGGAGCGGCAGCTCATCAGGCCGGAGAGCGCGACACTTCTCAGCGTGTTCGGCCTCGTACTTCTGTTCTTGAATCGCGTCTGCCATTTTGGTGGTCGGATTCGGGGTTGTATACAGCAAAGCCTGGTTCATCAGCTCCGTCTGAAAGACAAAACAAATTCACAGCCCCAGAGTATTTAACAGAGACCCAAACAGCCTGGGAAGATTCATAAAACTGACATGGATTGGGCGAGTTCCGGCGAGAACGCCGGTGGATTACATCGAACCGTGGGGGCTTCCCCATGTTGGGGCCCCGGATTCTTGGCTTGCGGGGAAAGAACGGGTCGCGGGTACTGAATCCCCTTGAAGTAGCCTCCCGGGGGAGTCCCCCGAGCATCGGTGAGAATGCCGATGGCTACATATCGGCAAGTTGATGACCAGATTTGGAGAAGTGATCGAATGATCTGCTTTTCCGTCCACACGGGACATTCTCTCGGAAAAGAGTCGATGAACTTAGCTTGTGGTGCGTCTGTTGAACTTACATCCATGGGAAGATGACGGCAGATGCGCGAGACTGCCGCAAGTTTGTGGTATCCATAGCATTACATATGGTATTGAAGCAACGAAGAGCCTCGAGAGGCTCTTCTAATGGTAGCTCAGGTGATGTTGGAATCAAGACGGTTTATTCGAGTCTGGCACTTCAGTCTTCTACTTAGATGCAGCCTCAAATGCCTTCTTGTTAACCGGAGTCAACGGCTCGCCAACGAAATCTCCGTTTGCCCCCACAACTTCAACGATATTCTTCATAGCATTCAGCTCAAAATTCATCCTTGTCGTCAAGGCTGCACCACCATTATGAC